CATTCGTATAAATTTTTTACTACCCTAATGCGCTTATGTCAGAACCAATTTTTTTCTCCTATCATTTTATCTCTAATTTATTCATTTTTTTTTTTCAATCGTTCTTACGAATATGAAAGATAAAGAAATAAGTGATACTACTCTATTTCATCGCTAGAAGTGATGCTGTTATCACAAAATCGTTTYCACCTATTTGTTAATTTGCACTTTGAGAGATGCAATTTGTCTGAATGTTTATAATTGTAATAATTTGTGTTCAAACGGAGCGCAAATCCAATGTTTTTGGAATTATCTGAGATAATTATCCTTCGTATTATTTTAAAAGAATGTGGTTCAGGTGAGTGCAGACATAAGATTTAATTGATAAATTGTTCTTGCACAATGCAAGTATATACTATATTATATGCTATAMATGTGTATATAAGTAAGTAAAGCAATTGTTTTTCAACTTTTGTACGACAAACTTAAACTAATAGTTAATTATTCACTTTATGAAAGTATTTCGAAATAAACAGATTATCAACTGATYTGCTGTGCAATTTTATGTTTCCAATGGAATCAMMCCTRCGGCATCRTTAAAAATGTTACAGAAGTGTTCTGGAAAGCATTCAGTGAAGGACATGAAGTCATAGAAAACTTGCGTGATTCGCAAATCGTCCATCCACCACTGCTAATGRGGATAACATCGAAGAAGTTAAAGAACAGTGCGTGAAGATCGTAGCTGATAATCTAAACATTTCTTATGATTCGACTCMAAACATTTTGGTTAATGTTTTGGCCATGGTTCGTATCAATGCTAAACTCATTCTAAAAAACCTGATGTTTGGCAATGTAGCTGAGGGCCRTTTATTCAACAAACCATCATAAAATAAAATAATATCCTAATTATTTACTTAAGAATCTAAAAGGTTCTGAATTATTCACCACCTTTAAGTATTTACAATTAAATTTTGTAAAACTTTGACTTTTCGAAGATCATAACTTAACGACTATTAAATTTCAGTAAAATTCGAAAAGTATAAKCCGATTATCTCAATAATAACAAATCCTTATCGTAGAGCAAACTAAAGTTCTCTGATTCCTCGAAGTGTTTTTACATGAATGATTTCATAACTGAACGAAWATCAATTAACCTTCGACCATAAACACACATTATAATTGCATTGATATATGAAAGTGCTTTCGGAAAAATCCCCGCACAACTTGTTCATAAATTTTAATTTGCTTTCAACTTCAATAGAAACCAGTAATAGTTAAAATAAAGGAATGGCATTAACACCAATAAAAWTATTAGAATTAACTGCTGCAAATTAGATTAGATATACATGGTCATACTATAATGACTAACACAATTCTGAGTGCGATAAGGTATCATAATAAGTGAGTAAATTTACAAATAGTTAATCAATTTGCGTTTTTTTAAACATTTCTACCAATTTTAAACCAATTCACGTCACATCTTGAAGTTTTTATGAATAAATGTAATATATTTGTATTTAGCCTCTACCTATCTTTGGTGGGACMATTTTGGATGAAGGTTCTTATCTCCAACCACTACGTGTCAACTAACCAGCTGAAATTCGTATTCGTATTATTGTGAAATTTCTGGAGACAATATAGATAAAGAGAATCTCTGAATCACTCTATCGATCTTAGCCAACGTGTTTTGAAAAATGGTTAGGTAAAGATATTATTGTAGATGATCATCAGACGATGATCTCTGATGATCGCCAACTAGTGGATACTTTAAAAAATGACAAAAAGCAAACACAAAACGGATCCATTCTAAACCCAATACTACATATTTTATGGCAATTACGGCAAAATATTTTAGCCACAGAAACTTAACCGCTAAGGAACGATCAGTCGAAAATATTTTCAAGCCATAATGGTTTTGGCAATTTTTCAAGGAAGCTGCTACCATCAAGGAGTTCATTAAGGACTCCAGCAAGCTGCTGGTGGAAGAAGGAAGAAGCCAAAAGGAAGGAGTTGGAGTCCGAGGAAGACGACAACATGGGTTTCGGTCTCTTCRACTAAACAACTCAACACTAAACTTGAATTTTGAGCCGAACAATATACACACTGATCCCGAAAATTCGGGATTGAAAAAATCTTCAATAATATTATCTGCCTTATCGAGTTTTMTTTTCTGTTACACGTACTCATATCGCAATCTTTATACAAATCAATTTATAATCAAATGAAATCTGAAAAGACTTCACGGCACACGATTTAATTAATTAATTTGTTTTTGGTTTACTGATAATAACTTCTTGAAATTGAAAATTGAGTTGAATAACTAATATCGTATGGCAACAAGTTTTCCAGTACTACAAAATCGTGGATTAAATRTGCTAGGTAGGTCAATTGAAAAGTCTCCCAGAAATAAATATTTGGTAGTCGAAAAATTCTTTTCGTTTTTCTAATCAAACTTCAACTTTTTTTGTTTTGTTTATACTAATAAATAAATAAACAAATATGTCCAATTTTGGTCGATCACTTTTGACATTTTCATCAGTGTAAATCGAAATTTGGAAATTTTCAGAACGGAGCGAACGATTTTTGTGCTAAACGAACTATACAGCATCCTCTCCGTAAACTTCTCAAATATCATTGGTGGCTTGCGTGACATTCTTCCCTTTTTATACAAAAATTTCAACTGTTACTAAATGAAGCTTAAAATCTGACCTTTCTCACACTATATGTATTCAAAATACGAAAAGACTTTATCGACTACCCAATACATATGCCCTAGCCCTAGCCTTCAAAACGCGTAAGTTTACAAATTTACTATCATATACTGAAAAGTGTTTTTTTTTTCGAGATTCTACTTAAAAAAATACAAAACTTCAAATTTAATGGGGAATGTTTATTAACATTCCTTTTTTTCATTATATTTTTGAAGATTATTTCTTTCAAATGTRGGTCTCGGCAGAGTCTAAATTTTCTAATCGAAGCGAGATTGTCCACATAGACTTTACAAATCCCCACAAGAAACAGGCTAGTAGTGTGATAGCAAACCAACTTTGGTCGCCAATCGACYATCCTAAAACTTGAAATTATCTGCTCACCGAAATATTCGCTCAATAAATCTATTGATTGATGCGATTTGTAGGAAGTGGCGCCGTCTTGTTAAACTCAATTGTAGCCGAAAGCTTCCATTTCAGGCATCAAATAGTCGGCTTTAAYGGCCATTGACGGTGACATTCCCATCGGCGTCATTTTTGAAGACAAACTACACCTAACCGACATATTTTCTGAATGCATTGGCAGCTCTTGAATCTCCTCAGGTTGATCTTCGTCTCAAATGCGGCAATTTTGCTTTTTTAAATACTCATTGAGCCAGAAATGGACCTTATCGCTGAACAATATGAATCTTCTTAGAACTTTTCAAGAGCACATAGAGCCAACCAATGTTGCTTGGGAASGTCGAGCGGCTTCAATTCTTGCACAAGCTGTATTTTGTACGTTCTCAGCATAAAATGCGCCAAGTCATGCCGTACGTCAGTCCGAGTTGTTTTTATGAATTTCCATAAAAAAGCGCTGAATATGAATGGAATTGATCTAGTCTTTGATCTTAACCTCATATGCCTTATGTAATGGTTTCCAATTTCCAAGTTGATTTTTTCTCAAGTGTTATGCATCATATTTAATACAACGATTTTTCAACACCTGAGAGAATTTTCCAGACTTAGTTATTTGCAAATTGCGGGAGTCTAAATTGTTATACCACGAAAACTGTTATACTCTGGTGCAGTACTTGTATCTTGTAAGAGTGCAGCCGCAAGGAAAAGAAAGCCGACTTTTCAAGAAGAATCTTTTTCCTGAACTTATGTATTGTAAGAGTTTACCAGCTTCATTAAATGCAGAATTACCTGTAGCATTTCATGCAACTTGAAATACGAACGTCATTTTTAGAGCATGACAATCTAATATTTAGAGAATAGACAAAACAGTCAAAGATAACTGAATTTTTGTACAAAGAAATCATTGTTGGTAATGATCAGTTTARTTATACGGATCCAAATTATTTGCCAACCGATTCAATGCATAACAAGCAACCATTACGTATATATAAGAATAATATGAGCGAAAACGTTATACTCTTGTACAATGCACCTATTGCGAAATCGTAAACAGGCCGGCATGAAGAGAGTCCAAGCGAGACTACTTACTGATAGCATGAGATAAGCGAAGTTGTAGCCTGCGCCCAGTACTTAACCGACGAAAAAAAAGCCACTAATGAGATGCATAAAAAAAATTTTATTTCTAACCTCATTGATTGAAGGGTGTTTACAGATAAAGCATTCAACATATGTATATGCGCTTTTCTGCTTTTGCTTCATTCTACTAAGCGGAAATTGGAGAGAGACCGAACACACGTAGCAGTTAAAATATAAATTAACTGATTACGCATTTTGAATCGTTGAAATTCACCAAAAATGCTTATAATAAAATGGGAAAAGTGCAATAAAAAAAATACTGAAATATTTTTGCCAAAAACGATAGGGCGTTACGGCACTGGAATGGTTGACACACACACACTTGTGTATTTTTGCCAGCAATCAATTTGCGTCCATACAAGTAATATTATGTCTTCAGTGTGTGTATGTTGGCATGTGTGTATTTGTTTGTATAGTGATATTGCTCTATCGAGTGGCTATAATTGCTCTTAATATTGTAATATAAAATATCTAGCWCTTGTCAGAAATAGAGATAATTATCCTTATCATTGCTAATAAAGTTAGTTTAAAACAGTAGATAAGCCGCGACGTTGCTTAGCTATAAAGGTCTATGTGCTTACATTTAGACATTAGTTTAAGACATTTAACCGCCACTGATTGCTGTTCGCAACCGAAAACGGTAGAAATACAAGGCACTTAAGGTTAGCACTTAAAAGGATATACATAAATGTATAAATACATATATATAGTATATATATAGAGAGACCTATTGGTGCTGAGTTGTGAAATAGTGTTTGATTTTTATAAAGCAAAGGATAAGGCAGAAAAAAACCAAAGTTAATAATCAACAGCGAGTCAAAATCAAAGTGCAAATCTAAAGTGAAGTGAGAATTTTTGTGACCATATTTTTGACAACTGAGCATCACATAAATTCAGGAAACAAATAATTAATGAAAAAACACTATATTTGAATAATTTTTGGTTGAACTTCTCGCACAAATAACTTGTTCTAATCAAGAAACATCTTAAAAACATAATTTTGYCATAATTTACGAAAGCTCCAGTGACCCATTTTACCCACCCATAAAATTTTTTTTACTTCGACTTTTTGTAAAAGTCTGCAGTGAAAATTTTGAGAAACCAACAATTGAAAAGCTTAGTTAAATGTGTGAAGTGGTCTCATTAGATAAAAGGATATATGAAAGGGCCAACGTCTGATGAGAAAGCTGGATTTGGCAGCCTTTCATACAACTTTTATATATTTAGGTTTTATAACATTAATAATAATATTTAAAAAAAGATACAAACAAAGCTTACAAACACATACTTCAATTTGTTATACCCTCATCAGCTGTTAAGTTTTCTATGATTCTTGACACATTAAAAGGAAACGTGGGAGCCCCTATGAAGTATATATATAAATGATCAAACGGGCATGTCCATCTGTATTTATATCTGCGAACTAGTACCTCAGTTTATGCGATATCGATCTGACACCTCATTTTCTCTCTAATAAGTCTTTCACTTTATGAGATATCGATCCGAAATCTCACTTTCTCCCCTAGAAGTCCCTCAGTTTTTGCGATATCGATCTGAAATCTCATGTCGTCCCCAAGAATCTGCACATTTGTCGGAACTGCCGATATCGAACCACAATAACATATAGCTATCATACGAACTGAATTATCCAAATCACGTTCTTGTATGGATAGCTTTTATATTTTACGAGATATCTTCACAMGATTTTGCATRCAGTATAACCTGAGAGARGAGTGATATTTTTTATTATCTTASCAAGAAAAATCAAACGAATTCTGCTCTAGCGGACTCGCTTAGAGTATATGGACTTCATGTGAGTTCAGCAAAATATTGGTTAGCAACCAGCCAGTCTTTGATATCTTGCCAACCGAATTACCGTTACTACTAAACTACTAGCGCTTAACAAGGTCCATCTTACCGAAACTGAATTGTTCAATAACCGAAGGCAATAGGCGACAAMAATATTCTTACTTTTAGCATGCGAATTCTCAAAGTTGTAGGAAGGATAGCAAAGTAGTAAAATCTAATCGCTTTCTCACTTTCTTTTAAAAAGCTGAGGGTGAATCAGCTCGATAGTCATACTTATGATTGGACTTGAAGCGGCTAATATTGACATCAAAATTTGTGACAGATTTATCGATTATCGCTTTTTTAGCTGTCCAAGTGGAATCAGCTTCTTGACATAATCCAAAAAAATTTATCAACTTAGTATTGTTTTCAGGGGTGTGAAGTGTAGAGTTTATGAGCTTTGGAGCTTTGGAGCTGGTGCGCCATACTAACTCCTAGAATAACGAAAATTCAGCTAACAGCTAAGAAATTTCATGCTTAGTACTAGTTTTCTCTTTTAATCTAAGTGTAAGGGTTGCAAAGGTTAAAAAGAAACATGTGTCAAAAGTAGCAATTCATTTTGCCATTACTCATTCATGCCAAATTTAATCAAACTTAAATTTTATTACCTCAAACAACTAATGCTATAAGTTCTTTGATTATGTGAATATATTTTATTACAAGAATATTTTGTTAGTGCAGTACTTTAACTAAAATGATTTAGAAATCGATACTGATGATGGTATGAGCTTTTGAGATGTTTTTTCAAAAACTCTACGTAGTTTTTTGATATTTATTATATTATTATCGCTGTATTAATGAAAATTATGAATTGGATTGAATTTTAAAATGGATGTTTATGTGCTTTAATAATTAGATTTAGCTTGTAATGAATGAAAGCTATAGAATTCTCAGAAGTACACAATAAAGTGCTTTCACAGCTATCTTCGGCATAAATCATGAAACAACTCTAGACAATTTATAGTTCATAGCAATGATATTGATATCGATTACGAATTTTTTTATTTGCAAACTCATAGCATAATTTATGATAGTCTTGATAAGACATCCAATAAATACTTGTAGGTTTATTATATGGTCGTCATCGAAGTCAGTTGCGATATTTAACCCAACTTTTTCGAATTTGCGTCAAGAAAATGTTAATAAAGAAGCAAGTCATCAAAGTCTGTAAATAAGTTAAGCTTTATAAAGAAAAAAATTAACAAAATTGTATTTAAATGATTTTTACATTTTTTATTCGTCTTTTACTGATTTCAATAATTAATAATTCCATATTTTCATTTCATTTCTATATATTACAGAATGTCCAAACTGTACCTCGCTGCCTTTTTGGTGGCATTTTTGTGCGCTACAGCTTTTGCTGCGCCCTACGAACAGCAAGCCGAGGTGGCCGGCAGAGCAGTTGCAGCCGACGGTAACGATTATCGTTTGCCAACGGAAATACTGCCATGGAATTATAAGCTAAAGCTTACGCCATACCTATTGGAAACTGATGGCAATAAACGCTTCACTTTTGATGGTGAAGTTACMATACAAATCAATTCAACCATCAATACGAAAACATTGATTCTACATACGAAAAACTTAAATTATACAACTAGAGAATTATGGTCTGAAGACGAACCCAATACAATAACTAATTTGGGCGCGGGCACATATAACAGTGTCACCGAYAAAATCCAATACGATTTGACGACAGAATTGGTAGCGAATAAAACGTATTTCTTGCATTTCGTCTATAATGGCACCATGGACGATGACATGCAGGGTTTCTATCGTAGTTCATATGTTGATGCGGCAAATAACACAAAGTGAGTACCCGTTAGTTAGGTGTAAAAAAATGTTGGTGTGTGCAATATAAAAAATGTGTAATAAAGCATCATCCATTTCGGTTCATCCGTTGAGTGCATTTTTCGATTACTCGTTCAACTATTTCGACTGGTAACTGGCGAATGACATGCGCAATGTTTTTCCCCAAGGCCTGAATCCAAGCAGGATTGTCCGCATAGACTTTAGACTTTACATATACACACAATCTTGGTGGTCAATCGACGAAAGTTCTCGAAGTGTTCCTTTACAAAATTAATTCATCGATGCGATGTGTCTGAAGTGGAGCTGCCTTTATGCCGCGATGTCTAAATTTGGTATCCTCGCAAAACTAGCACAGCCGTATAAGCTGACGTCGAGCAACTCCAAAAGCTCCATCAGAATAGGAAAAGGACCTCTCCGAGCCGTTTTATAGCAAACGAGGTTTCAGACAAGGCGACTCTCTTTCGTGTGACTTTTTCAACCTACTCCTGGAGAAACTAATTCGAGCTGAAGAACTAAACCGAGAAGGTACTATCTTCTATAAAAGAAGATGCTGGCGCATGCTGATGATATTGATATCATTGGCCTTAATAACCACGCCGTTAGTTCCGCTTTCTCCAAAATAGATAAGGCAGCAAAACAAATGGGTCTGGTGGTGAACGAGGGCAAAACGAAATATCTCCTGTCATCAAACAAATAGTCGTCGCACTCACGACTAGGCTCTCACGTCACTTTTGACAGTCAAAGCTTTGAAGTCGTAGATAATTTCGTCTATCTTGGAACCAGCATAAATACCACCAACAATGTCAGCCTAGAAATACAACGCAGTATAACTCTTGCCAACAGGTGCTACTTCGGACTAAGCAAGCAATTGAGAAGTAAAGTTCTTTCTCGACGTTCTAAAACAAAACAATGACAACATCTGATGAGTCGACGTTAGGAGTTTTCGAGAGAAAGGTTCTGCGAAAATCAACATTGACGTAGTTCAGCGGCTACGCTAGCTAGGTCATGTCGGCCGAATGAACAAAAATACTCCAGCTCTCAAAGCATTCTATGCAGTACCCGCCGGGGGAAGCAGACCTCCTCTCCGTTGGAAGAACCAGGTGAAGAGGACCTGGTTTCGCCTGAAATCTCCAATTGGTGCCTTGCCAAAAGAAGAAACGGTTATAACCGCGTTAGCGGCTTCTACGYCAGAAAGAAGAAAAATAGCAGCTCTTGAATCTCTTTAGGTTGTTTATATACCCATTGAACCAGAAATGGGTCATATTGCTTAACATAATTTATCTCGAAAACCTCGGATCCTATTGAAACTTTTCAAGAGCACATAAAGCGAAGCGATGCCGCTTGGGAAGGTTGAGTGCCTTCAGTTCTTGCAGAAACTGTATTCCAATTTAAGATATTGACGTAAAATGTGCCAAGTCGTTCCACCGACTTTCTACGGTCTTCGTGTACGCTCGCAGTTATGCTCGCTATACGAGTATTATCTTCACTGCTCCGAGTATTATCTTCACCATGTCCAGCAGGTCTATTCAGTCGAATATTATCCAAYAATGAATGCTGGGMCTTAAGATGGGTAATGAATGGATTCAAGTAAAAGTTCAGAGCATTTCAGTAGCCAGCAAAAAAAGCTTTGTGTTTTATCTCTCTACCATTTAAGAAAATCTCAGTAATTCAATTCAACGCTATTGATCAAATCTAGGGTAATTTAATATCTTTTCATAGGGTTCAAGCACAATTAAACGCACCGTACTGAATTTTTTTGCAATCCAACAAGTAATCACAATTTCTAAATAAATTACTTACTTTCTAGATGGATTGGCTCTACGCAATTCCAAACGAATCATGCACGCCGCGCCTTCCCCTCATTCGACGAGCCAAAATTCAAGGCTACCTTCGACGTGACAATTAGACGACCCTCGACATTGAACACCTTTGGCAACACGCGCATTTCCAGCCAAAACACTGATGGGTGAGTTCATTTCCTAAATGCTTTTCAAGTGTAATGCAATTCGATTTGATTTTTTTTTTTTTCAGTAATTATGTGGAGGATGTGTATGTGCCAACACCACGTATGTCCACTTACCTTCTCGCTTTCATCGTGTCTGAGTTTACAGAACGCAATAACAGTAATTTCGGTGTAATTGCACGACCTGAGTATTACGATCAGACCGAATATAGTTTCACTGTTGGTCAACAAATTTTGACGGCACTCAATGACTACATTGGCATTAATTATTACGAAATGGGTAATAATAAAATGCATATGGCTGCAATTCCTGATTTCTCTGCCGGTGCAATGGAAAACTGGGGTCTCCTAACCTACAGAGAACGTGCCTTGCTCTACGATAAGGACTCGACTACGCTCAGCGCTAAACAATCGATTGCCAGTGTGGTCGCGCACGAACAGACCCATATGTGGTTCGGTGATTTGGTTACTTGCGATTGGTGGAGTTATACATGGTTGAATGAGGGTTTCGCACGCTACTTCCAATACTTCGCCACAGCTATGGTATGTATTCGATATTGTATGTATAAATGACGTTTACTTATTTTRTATTTACCCACTTCCAAACAGGTTGAAAAACAATTGGGGCTAGATCAACAATTTATTGTCGATCAAGTACAATCTGTGATGAATATGGACTCAACCAATAGCACAAATCCGATGAGTGATGAAAATACAAACACCCCAAGTGATCTATCCCGCATGTTCAATAGTATTTCTTACAATAAAGGCGCCAGTGTTATACGCATGGTCAGGCATGCTATTGGCGAGGAGAACTTCAAGAAATCGCTCAACGACTATCTGAACAAACAGTATGTATTTTTAATTTATAAAATGACAACTAACATTTAAACAATGTTTTTCTTTTCTTAGCAAATACACTAACACCATTCCACCCAATCTTCTAACCGTCTGGCTACAATATTGGCCAGAGGCGAGTAAAACTTATGCTGAAAACGTCTTTAACAGCTTCACACAACAAGTCGGTTATCCGCTCATCACTGTCGCATTGTCCGCTGACAAGAAGAGTTTCAGCGTTAAGCAAGAGCGTTTCCTGCTGAAAGATCGCGATACCGCCAACACTGAGTTACTCTACACCGTCCCAATCTCATATACAACTAGCGATGCGAAGAATTTCGCAGACACAACACCCAAATTYTACCTGACCGCCACAAAAACGCCACTCACAATTAACTTAACAAACAGCGCCGACTGGATSATACTGAATATACAGGAGTCTGGATATTATCGTGTCAACTATGATGACAGTACTTGGGATGCCATACATAGGACATTGCACTCTGCTAGCTGGGGTGGCATTCATGAACTTAATCGTGCTCAAATAGTCGATGATTTGCTCAATTTGGCACGTGCTGATATCGTGCAATACGACAAAGCTTTGGAGGTGCTCGAGTATTTGGAGAGTGAAACGAATTACCTGCCTTGGACTTCGGCCTTTAATGGTTTCTCATACATAACTATACGTCTTGGCAGCGATACGAAACAATTTGCCGAATACATACTCGAACTGACGAAAACGGCATACGAAAAGCTCGGCTTTGTCGAGAAAACGACGGACAGCGCCTTGGATATCTATACTCGTACAAAAGTGTTGTCTTGGGCCTGCAAGTTCGGCAATGAAGAGTGTATTAGCAAATCAAAAGAATATTTTGCCACAATTAATACAACTGCCGTGCCTGTGAATATCCGTTCGGTTGTATACTGTAATGCTATGCGTTACGGCACTGAAAACGACTACAATACGTTGTTCAACAAATTTTTGACAAGCAACTCGGCGACTGAACAAACCCTGATACTCAGTACATTGGGTTGTGTTAAAGATGAAACCCTGATTACAAAGTATTTCAACGCTATTGTGAGTGACGATATTCGCCGTCAGGATAAATCGAGCGCACTCAGCAGTCTATACACCGAAAATAATGAGAATGTCGGTCCAGTCTTCAAATTAGTCACAGACAACTATGACAAGCTAGCGGAAGCGTAAGTTCTCACCATCAAGTTTTAGTTATTTCTTTGGATGTATGTTATTTAAATATTCAATTTCTACTTTCTTTTGCAGTATGGGCAGCTACTCTTCGGTGGCCACTGTAATCGCTAATATTGCCGCTCGTTTTACCACCACGACTGAGCAGCAGAGTCTGAAGACTTTCAACGAACARAACAAGGGTAAATTCGGCAGTGCCGAGTCCACGCTTGTCGCCGCTGAAAAGACAGTGGCAGAGAATTTAGCATGGGCCACAAASAAATTGGGACAATTTAGGAGCTATTTGGATAACCGCAATGCCGCTGGAACTAACTCAATTGCCATTCTGACGACRATTGTTTGTGCTCTCGTTGGTCGCTACCTGCAGTAGGTTTGGTTCCTGCATGAGCATGCCTATTGTTGGCGTAAAAGTATGTATGTACATACATAGAGTTGTGTACAGTAGTTCTAAAAATTAGTTTAAATCCAGTTGAAAATATGTTCTGATTTTTAGTTTGTTTGTAAATACATTTGTATATATGTAAGTATGGAGTGAAATATGAAATGTCATCAAGCCAATTTCTTGTGATTAAAACGAATAAAAGCTTTATAACAATCGTATAGCAGTCTATTCTTTCGAACAAGCATGGTGCTAGCATCACACTAATCAAATAAGTGAATCCAGTGCCACTCCATTTTGGTCTTTCCAAAGCAATGGAAAACACTCTCTCTCCATCTTCTCTCACCAGCCAGTAGTTAAGTGTGTACCGTAAGACTGATAGTGAGTCAATTTCAACGGCAGACTTTTCTACATTACCGGTATCGACCGGATTTCATCCGGCAAAGATCTGTTGTTTTTTTTTTTTTTTTTTTTGAGATTTTTGGTGGAGACTATTGGTCAGTTCACACACGAAGACTTTTGTCGCCACAACTGTGTTTTCGTAGACGAAGAGACGACAAAGAAAGACAAAGGGACTGAGTCATTCGTGAGCGGGCAATATAACAAAAAGCAGAATCTCAATCCATGCAAACGATGCTATTTTCTAAGTCACGACTGAAAAGTGTGATTTTCTGAGTATAATTTTTTGATCTTTGATAACTGCACCTATTCTATTTCCTTGGTAAGGCCATATTAATATTGTGATGTTAATACGTTGATAGTTGACCTTTTTGTCGTCTTTACGGTTGACATTCCCCCGTAGGGGAATCGACCACTTTGTCTGTTAAGTTAAGCATGCAATCCAGTTCGAAAAGAAATGCTTCAATGCGAAAAAGTAATTGAATAATCGCTTGAATGGCTAAAGTGATTATGATTTCTGGGAGCAAATTAAGAAGAATTATCTTTTTTTGGTGGCGYTAACTGAAAAGAAATCCTCAGATCATTGACAAGATTTATGTAAACATTCGAGGCAATTCATTGCCAGCGCCATAATGATGAGAAGTTTATTTTCGTCCGTTTGYTGGAAGGAAAAATTAATAAAAATGTTCTATATTTTGATCAAAATTAGTGCTTGTATTTGCTGGCTCCCAGGGGAGGTTGGTATTGCAGATGGGCGCAATCGCGCCTACTACACTCACAGAACGCCATTAAACGAAAAGGGAAAAAATGTCAAAACTAAGCAATAAATTAAGATACAAAGCTTTAACTTGATGCAGAGGATCGTAGTAGTGAGGGGCGTAAATAGTTCTGAAATTMGCAACGAGACTGTAAACCCCAGTGGACGTCCARAAACCGACGAAAACATCAAAAATGTCCACAAAATAATTTCGAYAACCATAAATTGAAGTTGTTCGACATAGCCGGTACCCTAATAATAGCAACAGAATGTCTATATCATAGCATTCACGAATATTTATGTATGAGCTCTGTGCAAAGTGGATGCCACGCGAGCATAATTTTGACCGAAAACAACGAAGAGTTCATAATTCGGAGCAATGTTTGGAGATGTTCAAGCGTAAAAGACCCGAGTTTTTCCTTCGATATGTGGCAATAGTTGAAATATGGGCGAAGACCCATCGAGAGTCATCGAAGTGAAGTGCACATGATGAACCCGCTTCAAAGCGTGAAGAGACGCAACAGTTCGCTGGCATCTGTCTTTTGGGGTTCACATGGCCTAAATTTTTATTAACTGCCATGAAAAAGCAAAAACCATTAACAGCGACTATCACATGGCGTTACTTGACCATTTGGAGGACGAAGTCGGCGAAAAACGGCGGCATTTCGAAAAAAAAGTGCTCTTTCTCCAAGCAATGCTCCATGTTCCCATACGATTGATGTTGATATTTTTCTCATAAATCCCACATATTATATTTAGCTGCTTTGTTCAGATCTAAGCATCTGCACGAGCAAGTTATAGAAGTGAAAACTTTACACACAAACGACGGAAAGAAAGTTATAAATTCAACAAAATTGTCATCTTTGAATTGTAACGAATTATTATAATTTCAAAGTTAAACATAAACAACCTGATATCACGTAATTACGAATAAATTCTATAAAGCTTTTTATACATTTTTAAATATTTGCTAACTGATAATTAACTGTTTTGCCATAACTGACGCTTCACTTAATAAATTGCTCATTTCCAAACAAATTTATTACCAGCGGGTCTACATATGTCTGTAAAAATTGGCCTGCTTATCACCTGCCATCGATAGCTATATAATTTGTTTATTTGAGCATTTGAGCATTTGCTCTTTATTGCGGAAATTATCATAAAAGTGGCAGGAATAATATATTTTACTATAAATAAGACAACAGGCGGAATAAAAGTAGACTACAACAAACTTCCAACTGAAACAAGTGTATGGTTATTAAAGAACAGTGGCATTATCGAGCGCGTCCTTTAGAGGGATTTACAAAGAGCGGAGAGGAGTAGGAACAAAAATCGAATTAGTTTTCTAAATGAAGTGGCACTGTCTTGTTGAGATCAAATGTCTCCGCCGATCAAATARTCAATTACCATAGCGCGATAGCGCGATAGCGGTCACCATTGACAGTTATRTTCTCACCGGCATGATTTCTGAAGAAATATGGACCGATGATTCCACCAGCCCACAAAACATATCAAACCATTGATTCTTCTGGATGAAATGACAGCTCTTCAATCAATTTTGCTTGTTTACATATCTATTGAGCCAGAAATAGCTCTCATCGCTGAACAAAATTTGGGTCGAACTCTTCAAGAGCTTATAGAGAAAAGCAATGTCGCTTTGGAAAGTCAAGGGGCTTCAGTACTTGCACAAGCTGTATTTTGTAGGCTTCCAATTTAAGATCTCGACCTAAAATGCGCCAAGTCATTCCATCCGTCAGCCCGCCCACCGCCGAATCGACTCTCCACGGTCTTCGTGTACACTCTCAGCTACGGCTGCCATATTTTGTTCATTGCGTACTGAACGTGGTATATTCGGTCGAATATTATCCAATAATGACTACTAGGTCTCAAGATGGGTGATGACGTTGCGAATAGTATGTTCAGTAAGCSGATCATGTTGACCATAAGTTGGGCAAGCGCGCGAAACACGTTTTTTACAGAATTTGAATTTAAAGTAATAAAGGGTTACGATTTATAAACGTTGTTCAGGCGTAGATCTTTTCATGATAAAATACAAATCAATGCTGAACAAAAATAATATTAGATTAACCACCAGTGTCCTTCGCCACTGCGATTCCTTGCACCAAGTTAAATTAATTTTTATATTCATTTGGAGCTTAGTCATAAGGCTGTATAAGTCTTCAATTARTTGCGTTTTATGGGCTTAACAATGATCCGATTGTGCTCATCACAACGCCAACTTTGGATGCTAAGGAAAATATGTACCACAWTTCATAATAAAAAATAATATAAAGGTTACAGGCAGCTTTTTAGAGAAGAAAATATTTAYTTTGGCTAAAATCAACTTAAGCCACTTTAATAATTGACACATTCATATTTAACACTTGCTTYACCTTTATTGCGGACGCGACTGTTTTCGCAAAGAAACATGCATACGGTTGTTTATTTTTGTTGATTGTTATTTATCTCCGCTAAACAGCTATAGCCAACCATAAACAGGTGGGGGATTATATGAAAACTTGCAGAACGCATTCAACACTCTTAGCGAACAGTTTAGCGCGAAGGGGAGTTTTCGTAAAATTTTCATTATTTTATGTTTACTTATTAGTTTTACCATTCGTTTAATTTTAATTGTTGATATTGTGTTTAAAGTCGATCAATTGTACCGTATAAATAGTGCCTGTGTTTGAGTGTATATTTAATGAATCTTTTAATAACAACGTTACTGCTGCTACTGGGCTGCAGCGCTGTCATTAGTGAACCCCCAGAACCGTCTTATCGCCTAAGCAAGAATGTTATACCCATATCATATGATATTTGGCTGAGACCATATCTCTCAGTCAGCGATAGAGAACGCCGATACACTTATAATGGGGCTGTCTCTTATACACATCTGATGTGTATAAGAGACAGACCCCCAGAACCGTCTTATCGCCTAAGCAAGAATGTTATACCCATATCATATGATATTTGGCTGAGACCATATCTCTCAGTCAGCGATAGAGAACGCCGATACACTTATAATGGGGAGGTCAACATAACATTACAATACAGCAAAGGGCAGGAAATCACTTTACATAAGAATATTATTGAAATAACTGCCATTTGGCTGTACAAATACAACAACAATACGCCTTTAATCATACAGACATTTGATACAAAAGAATTGATCTACGATAACATAACACAAAAGTTAACAGTGCCTTTAAGAGATGAGCTAAAGCAGTACGACAAATACATGTTACGCTTTGGGTTCTTGGGACAAATACGCGATGGCATGCAAGGCTTTTTCCGCGCCAATTACACTGACGAAAACAAGAARGAGAAGTGCGTGCAACTTAAATTGATAAATGTTGATATTTTTTTGTGATCTCTAAAGCATAATTTGTTGCATCAAATTACAGATGGATCGGGGTAACACAGTCCCAGCGTATCGATGCACGCAGCATATTCCCTTGTTTTGACGAGCCCGATTTTAAAGCTACATTCCGCTTGGAAGTGAGTCGGCCAATTAAATACAGGACAGTGTTCAATGCAGAGTTATTGGAGAGTATACCAGATGCGTGAGTATTTGAAGATATGCGATTCGCATTTCATAGTTGTGTAGAGAGTATGAATGATAGAATATAGAATAGAGCATATAAAATATATAATGGACAATATAATTATACATAATTTGGATTATATTATATAAGGCAAAAAATGTAGAAAATAAAAACATAGAATATAGAACATTGAATATTGAATTTAGAATATAGAATATTGAACTAGAATATATAATATGGAATATAGAATATTGAACATAGAATATAGAGTGCAAAATGCAGAATATACAAAATATGTCGAATGCAGAATACATAATACTTATATAGAATATACAATAACATATAACATAGCCTGTTTAATATAGAATATAGTAGACTACATAATATACCATCGAATTTAGAATTTTTAATGCACTTTCGCCAATTTTCCAAAACAGCATTTCAATTATATACATATGCCCTCAGTTCCAGCTTTAATCGCTATTTAGACATCTTTGCTCCGACGCCACCTATGTCCACATATTTATTTGCATTTATGGTTACTGAATACGCAACATATGGCAATGATGATATTAAAGTAATTACGCGTGCAGAACATCAAAATTATACACACTTTGCTTACGAAGTGGCTAAGCGAGCTTTAAAAGCTTACGACGCATACACCCGTCTACCATACAAGCAATTAGGACTGCCTCTCATGCAAATTGCKACATCACCGAAATTCCCACATAATGGAATGGAAAATTGGGGTTTAGTTATTTATAAGTAAGTGATTACATATGTACATAGTTATCGTATGCATCTATCACCTTAGTGGTGTCTTATAATCACATGCTAATTATATTTAGAGAGGAAGTGCTAGTACASCTGCCTGGCTACAATGATGGCTGGTCAGACAAAGAGTACACGCTCACSATAATTGTGCATGAGACAGCGCATATGTGGTTCGGCAATAGTGTGACAATGGAGTGGTGGAGTTACTTCTGGTTAAATGAGGGATTCGCGCGCTACTATCAGTACTTCTTCGCGCACCAGGTACGAGTCATAAATGCTTTATTAAGTGATTTATTATACCTGTACTTTATATTTTGTGACACTTAAAAATGCTTTGTGCCTTCGGATGAACATTCATACATACATGCATATATATTTTATGATATTTTTTATRATCTCATAGCTATATCCGGAGTATCAATTAGATCAGCAATTTGTTATAAAACAAGTGCATTTGATATTTGAAATAGACGCTACGAACCGTACCCAACCGTTGACCAGTCTAGCTACAAGTGTAAATAGCCCGGATGAAATCGGTGAAAAATTTAGCAGCATCACTTATGTGAAAGGCGCAGCTATTCTGCGTATGATGGCCAATTTAATGGGTGTGAATAATTTTGATAATGCCATACGCGATTACCTAAGAAGATAGTAAGTATATGAAGAGGGATTTTTCTTTTTGTTATTATTTTATAACGTTAATAAAACCATTAGCTTTAACTTCTATTTGCCAAAGAAGCATTCTTCCTATTTCAATGAAGTAATAAAACACTGCTTTTTGCTACACATTTTCTCAATACTATTTTTCATATCGTGTGACAATAATATATAGTACATTTATTGAAGGTCATCGCAACCGAGGCTAGTAACAAAAATCAAGAGACTTGGAATAAACATTAGCATGCTTATTTTGGCTCAAAGGAGCTAGTGTGGAGGCGATAAAATTAAAATTTCTTTTTAAGTCCGGGTCATTTTTGATCAGATGGTATCTTATCAATATCTCAATTGGACATCAAATTACTGTGGTTTGACGCTGCGGAAATATCGCTATATATAAGTAAATATTTAGATATACATACATACGACATTCCAACGATGTTGACGTAAGTCTCCAGAGCTAATGGAATTCTTTATTCCTGTGAAAGTACAGTCGATGCTGTTATAGAACTCGATTTCTTTTGTATGGCCACCACGGGCACGCTTGCAGAAGTTCGGATGCTGAACCCAATTTTCGACGGTTTTCAWGCATAAATCGGCCGATACTGCTGCAATTTCACGTTCGATCTTGGTACGAAGTTCAACAGTCGTCGCTGGGTTGTTGGCATAGAGATTACACGTTCACCAAACTAGGTTTTCAATGAATCGATTGTGGCATTTGCTGTGTGGCATATGGCGCCGTCCTGTTGGAACCACATATTGTCTAAGTTCATATATTCAATTTGGGCCAAAAATTATCGGTTATCATTAACCAAAGCTTGATGCACTGACTTGTGTCTTCCTCAATTGATGCGTCGACACTACTCGTATCTTCGCGGCACGGGAACAYTTTGTACTGTACCTGTGGGTTTAAATTTTTTTACTAGACGCTCAATTGTTGATCGGCACGATTATGACGACCATAAATTGGATGTAGCGCTCTAAAAGTTCAGGCCACTGACTCCGAATTTCTGTAGTAAATTTTAATAATTTATATTTTAATTAATTCATTGTTGGATCGTATATCTTTCCATGATAAAATGGCAAACCTTATTGAAGAGACATATCAAATGAACATGAAAAATATGACGTTGTTTGCTGTTCCTACTTTTGTAGCGYGCTTATTGAAGCCCCCATTATATTGGTCAATATGCACATTTTATTATGTTTATCARTTTTGTAAAATTACTTATACTTTTAATATGACTCTATTCCACTAAAAACCCATTATAAACAGTTTTTTTTTTTTCTTTTTTTCTTGACAGTCATTTGAAAAACACCAAACCAGAACAGCTCTTTAAACATTTGAAAAACCATTGGCCTATCATGCCGCCAGTTCATTTGGAACAGTTCTTCTCCGATTGGACCGAACAAGTCGGATATCCGGTACTGTTAGTCAATATCATTGCTAAAGGTCAAATCAGGCTAACACAGAAGCGTTTTTTGTTGGATCCCCATGATGCTAAGACTGACATACTCACATATACTATACCACTTACTTATACTACTGACAAGGAGCGCAATTTCGATAACCTCACAGCACGTTACTATATACAAAAGGACAACGATATGTCTTTAGTTTTTGACAAACCTTACAAATGGATACTATTCAATTTACACCAGTCCAATTATTATCGTGTGTTCTATGATAAATCTTTATTGGGGCTACTTAAAACGGCGCTGGCCACAACAAATCACAGCGGCATACCAATCATAAATCGCGCACAGCTGATCGATGATTTATTTCATTTCGCAATCGTCGGCATGGTGAGCTACGATGAAGTATTTGAGTTTACGGAATACCTGACATATGAAACCGAATATTTGCCTTGGTATGCATTTTTCACAAACGTGCAACACGTAGCACAGCGTTTTACATTGGAACAGCAAACGTTGTTTAGTAGCTACTTGCGTTCTATTATGTCTAATATATATAAACATTTGGGCGTAAAACGAAGCAATGATACAGTACTCGACATTTACAATCGCAATATGGTCATCAACTGGGCATGTAAATATCATCTGTTCAATTGTGATCGTGAAATGGTAGAGTACTTCAATGAATTATTGGGAACCTTCTCTAAGGCGCCAGCAGATTTTCGTGAAACACTCAATTGTAATGCTATAAGGGATAGCCAACTTTCCTTTTATGGAACTCTCGACCARTGGTTCAAAAATGAGAAAGTGGTTAGTGAAAAACAGAAGCTCATGCGAGCAATGAGCTGTACGCGGTTTTTCCATGAAACACAATACATCAGAATACTCAACGGTGATATACCCAATGAATATGCCAGTATGAGTATAACGGAAATGTATAAACAGAATCCCGAAAATGTAGAACATGTCTTATACATGGTCACTACTAGTATTGAACATTTAGTACTCAGGTATTTATTTTATGATACTTTATCGTCATATTGYTAATGTCTCATTTTGACTTAGGGTTGGTGGCTGGGCGAACCTTGCTGACTTAATTAAAGATCTCGCGAACTACTTAACCACGCCAAAGCAGAAACGAGTACTGGAGGAATTCGTGGAGGCGCAGGCCTTACATTTCGGTTCTTCTGTTTCAGTTCTTCATGAAGCCATTGCTAACGTCAAAACAAATCTTGAGTGGGCGAATTTGCACCTGCCAAAGCTAATCCAATACTTAGAAAAGCGAARTGGTGCTGGAGTAAAGAGCATAACGACGATCTTGCTGATTTTCGTAAGCGTTGTGCATAGGTTTCTTTAGGCTTTAAGCTTATTAATTTATTTAGCAAAGTTGGTTGTTAAATTAATATATTTTGAAAATTGTAATTTTAATAAAAAAAATTGACGAGTCTGGTGCATGTAATAATTATTCAACTAAAATTAAATTTGAAGCATAGGGAAACCCAGAAAGCTGGTSAGCGGAGAAGGAAGTGTATTTTTTTCCTGCTTCAATTTTGATCTAATAATATGTCTAACGTCACTGTAGATCTGTACTCTAGGACGAATTCTCACSCGAATTTATACATTCTAAGAACATACATACGTGCACCGTTATAAGGAAAGCACACTTTCTCAACTTCATTAAAATAACTARCACGGATGTTCGAAAATCTTATATTACGCATCTGTGGGCTAAGTRAAGTATTGACCCGATTCARCCCTTTTATAACACATAGGCATACTACTATCACGAAAAAATCAGCTATAAGCACGGGGTCTACATATTCAGTGGTGGCTAAAAGCTCCGTTAGGATCGCTAAGAATCTCCCCGAGGCGTTCAACACCAAAGGAGGTGTCAAACAAGGCAAGGCCCTATCGTACGACTTTTTCAATTAACTCCTGGAGAAAAGCAAGATGCAGAGCTGAATCGAGCAGGTACAATCTTCTATAAGAGTRTACAACTGCTGGTATAAGTCTACGATATTTATGTCATTGGCCTCAACATCCGCAAATGGGTCTAGTAGTGAACGCGGRCAAGACGAAATATMTCCTGTCATCAAACAAACATTCGTAGCACTCGCGACTTGTCTCCTACGTCACTGGTGAGAGTCATAACTTCGAAGTCTAGATAATTTCGTTTCTCTTGGAACCACTATTAACACCCATAAAAATGTCAGCCTCGAATTTTAACACAGAGTAATTCTTACAGGTGCTACTTYGGACTGAGTAGGCAATTGAGAAATAAAGTCCTCTCTCGACAAACAAAGACCAAAYTCTACAAGTAACTCACCATCCCCAGCCTACATATATGGTGCAGTGGCATGGACGTTGGCAACATCTGATGAGTCGACGTTGAGAGTTTTCGAGAGAAAAGTTCTGCGAAAGATTTATGGTCCTTTGCGCATTGGTCAGCGAATATCGSATTCGGCGGAACGATGAGCTGTACGAGCTAYTTGTATACCACGRCATTGACATAGTTCAGCATATTAAGTGACAGCGGCTGGTTCGTGTCGTCCGAATGATTCTAGATTTCGTGATACTTTGTAGCTGTAGTGTATAAAAATTATCAGAAAGCAGACACGTTCGTCTCAACGTTGAGTMGATAACTTGGGTAAAAATTGCAATAGAATTCATTTATTCCTTGCCAATAATCAGAGGTTGGATTATTATTCGAAAAAGAAATGATATTTCGAAAGAAGCAGTCATAAATTTCAAATTAAAAAGGTTGGCTCAGAAACTCACATTGTAAGTATGGTTTTAAAATTCTTGAAAAGTTTACGGTAATCTGTTCTGAAAATAATTTCGCTGGAAACCTTGCATTTGGTCATTTGATACTGCAGTGTAATAACACGCTGAAACTCTTTGTATTGTTGTGATCGCTCTAGAAATATTCTTACTATAGAATACTGACCAATCGGTCTCAAATTATTGGTTACGAGAGGTATAAGAGTTAAATCTGCCATTAAATAAATGGATGAAACATGATTGTACCATTAAGTAAGTCGTCCAAAGCGTTTAAAATTAATACAGTTGGTGGGTTTGGCCATTAATTTTTAGGGTCATATGGAATTATTTTGGAAAAATATAACGCAAACACCTGAAGATACTTTTAACTCGATACATTTGAAAAGTAATTTTACAAGAGGTTCACAAAGTTGGCGCCCATGACAGTGATAACATTGGCAACTGACTCAARCTTCTGCCCATTTAACGTTTGGAAACAAATCATGAGGGGATGTTTTTTGGCCATTCAGCAATAAATCCGTCTAATAATTCCACACAAACCATTACTATTTTGTTCTTCAACGAGAGAGAAGTCGAGATTGATCACACATTATCTTAGTAAAAGATGGTMATTATCCTTAAAATTGCTGTGTAAGTCTTGGCCGACAGAACAGCTATGCCGAGTAGAATCCACTATTTCAATTATTTTTGGTTCTCAGCTGTTTACGAGATGATCCCTGTCTTATTGAAGATGRTGAAAAAACAAAAATGCGGCAACTCCTTTAGATTGCGCTTAAATAGAGTCAGACAGTACTGCGAAATGGTCTGATGGGTATGGGCAACATGGTCTTTTGTGACTCAAATGAAACATCTGTTTCGCGAACCTTCTGTTGACGTTTCTTCAAAACTAAATCGTCTTGTTTTCTTTTTCAGTTWTTTTCAAAGCACCCGGGTGTGGTTCATCATTTCGAGYCAAATCTTGTTCAACGATGAGGCCCATTTCTAGCTCAWTAGRTATGTAAACAAGCCAAATTGAAAAAGACCCTGTCGAAATTCAARCTGCAAATTCATTCAGAAAAARCAACGTTTGSTGAGGTTTGTGGGCCGGTGGAATCAATCGGTCCATATTTCTTAAAACGTTATGACARCGAGAAYGTAACCGTCGCGYCRTGATAACTGACTATTTGAAGCCTGGAATTGAATCATGTGATCTCGACGACATTCGATTTCAACAAAACGGCGCCARTTCCAACACATCTCATCAATTATTGGATTTATTGAGAGAGCACTTCGGTGAGCAGATAATTTCACATTTTAGGCCGGTTGATTGGCCACCAAGGTCGTGTGATAGCACACCGTTCGACTTCTTCCTGTGGGGATTAGTAAAGTCTAAAGCATTTGCGAACAATCCCCCTTCGATTCAGCACTTGGAGCAAAACATAGTCCGTGTCATTCGCCAGTTACCAGTGGAAATACTCGAAAGAACCATCTGAGGTAATGACGAATAAAAAATCCTCATTAAATTGAAGTTTTTTTAAAAAAAATGGGGGATACCTCGAAATGGATTACCCTTTACTTATTGAACTATACTCGTAATGTTTGGTTGTGCTCGAACTTAGGTTTTCCTTACTTGTTTTCTCTTCTTTTTATAGTATACGTTTTGCTGCTCTATTGTTGTTATTTGYCGGTAAATAAATAAACAGTAAAACATATGTAAATATAGTGAAAGGGAGACAGATTATAGATATAACGTTTTTGAGATTTTGCGTGTAAAAATTGACGAAATATATATTTTTTAAAGTGTTGTGTGTCTATGTTTAAAATTTTAAATTAATTTTGTATATAATGAAATTATGTGTAACAACTCTGCTGCTGCTTTTGGCGTTAAGCGCCATACTTTCGGTCAACGCTTACAAAGGCGAACCAGTCTATCGCCTGAACACAAACATTCGGCCTGAGTCATATACAGTTGTATTGAAGCCATATCTCTTAGTCTCGGATGGACCACAACGTTTCACTGTTGATGGTGAAGTTTTCATAACAATAAGAGTGAGAGGCGAGGACGTAAGTGAAATTACCTTGAATGCGCACCAAATTGAAATCACAAGTGCTTCGCTATCTGACAATAGCATAAATGCTGGAAGGCTCATACAAACGTTTAGTACAGCCGATTTGAACTACGATGAAACTGCACAGAAATTAACACTGAAATTGCAGAAAGAACTGATGCCGAACGGCTTGTATCTACTACAYCTCGAGTACGTTAGTCAAATACGTAACGATCAAAAAGGATTTTTTCACGTCAATTATACTGACAACAGCGGYAACGAAAAGTTGGTGGAAAATATTTTTAGTATATTAGTATAAACACTGAATTGTTGGCATTTCCTTGCAGATGTGTCGGTCTAACGCAGGCKCAACCCATCAATGCGCGCATGATATTCCCCTGCTTTGATGAGCCCAGCTTCCGAGCGCACTTTAGCTTGGAAATGAGTCGGCCAGCTAATTACAATACCGTTTTCAATACGGCATTAATGGAAACCACGACAGATGGGTGGGTGTGCGGCAAAACCAATTGTTGACAAAATTTATTTTMATTTTTTTATTTTTGACATTTTCAGTGAAGAACGCTTTTGGGATCGTTTTGGTTCATCTCCAGCAATGCCTACATATTTATTTGCATTTATACTTTCTGAGTTCGTTTCTCATGGCAGTGATACTTACAAAATAGTAACACGTGTAGAGCATGAGAATAAGACCGATTTCGCTTATAAGGTGGGCGAACGTGCGACAAATGCTTTTAACGAGTACTTTCAGATACCTTATAAAAAGTCGATATCTTACATGCAACTCGCAGCAGCGCCGAATTTTCCATTTAACGGTATGGAGAACTGGGGTTTAATGATCTACAAGTAATTTCCACAATAATGAGTTAGTTGTCGATTTCTGAGTTGTAATAAAAATATATTTTTAGAGAGCATGTGCTGGTGCACGAACCTGGCTACACCGATGACTGGTCCAACAAACAGTTCACTCTCTCAATAATTTTCCACGAAATTTCGCACATGTGGTTCGGCAATAGTGTCACATACAACTGGTGGAATCATTTCTGGCTAAGTGAGGCATTCGCGCGCTACTTTGAGTACTTCATGGCACACAAGGTAGTACAGCACCAAAGCACCGATTTTTATTATTTTAAGGAGTTGTTATTGTCATATGTTTTGTCATACTTGATTCAATATTTCAGCTCTACTATGAATATAGATTAGCTGATCAATTTGTGGTGAATGAAATGCATTTGGCATTGAGTTTAGACGCCTCTAAAAGCACGCAACCTTTGACTAGTCCGGACGAAGAAATACAGTCACCATCGGAAATTGGTTATAAATTTAATACTGTCACCTATACAAAGGGTGCATGTATAATACGTATGATGGCCACTATAATGACCCAACCGAACTTTGACAAAGCCATAAGAGATTATCTTGAAGAATTGTAAGTATCTTAAGAATAGTATTTAAAGACAAATGTTTTAATTAATAACTAAAAATATATATACATATGTATATATAACAATTTGTTCGTCAAGAGAGGACTTTAATTCTCAATTGCCTACTCARTTTAAAATAGCATCTGTTGGGCAGAGTTATTATGCGTTGGATTTCGAGGGTGACATTGTTGTCGGTTTTAWTACTGGTTCTAAGAGAAACGAAATTATGTACAACTTCGAAGTTATGACTGTCAATAGTGGCGTGGGAGCTAAGTCGTAAATGCGACGACTGTTTGTTTGGTGATATGAGATATTATTTCGTCTTGCCTACGTTCACTTCCGAACTAAATCTAAAGAAAGCAGAACTAACGACGCGGGTGTTGAGGGCAATGATGTCGATTTCATAGGCGTACGCCGYAGCAGTACACTCTTAAAGAATATTGTACCTTCTCGATTCAGTTTTGCAGCTCGAATTATTATCTCCGGGAGTAGATTAAAAAAGTCGCACGATAGGGAGTCGTATTGTCTGAAACATCGTTTGATATCAAACGGTTCGGAGAGGTTCTTCCCGATCTTGACAGAGTTTTTGGTATTGCTCAATGACATCGCAGCATAGAGGCAGCTTTTTTCATTCTGTCAAAAACGGCGAGGAGGTGGTGTGTCTATATTCTCTTTTCACGGGTCTTTTTCAAGATTTGGCGCATGGTAAATATCTGGTCGGTTGATGATTTTCCAGGCCTAAAGACACACTGATGCGGTCCAATCAGTTTGTTGATAGTGGACTTTAATCTTTCACACAGTATGCTGGATAGAGCCTAATATGCGATGTTGAGGAGGCTTATTCCACGGTCGTTGGCGCAGATAATGGGGCCTCCTTGTTAGTGGATTGGCAGAGCACACTTAAGTTCCAATCGGCGGGCATGCTTCGTCTTACCATATTCTACAAAGTAGCTGATGCTTCGCCGCTGTAGCTCGGCCGRCAATCCATTGGCCCGCCGCTTTATTGTTCTCCAAACGTGTATTTGCTATTCGAACATCTTCATAGTCTGGCAATGGAACTTACGCTCCATCGTCAACGATTGGGTAATCGGGTTCATCTGCTCCTGTCGTTATGCTTCCACTGCCATTCAGCAGACAGGAGAAGTGGTCCCTCCATAATTTTAGTATGATCTGGGCATCGGTTATTACATCACAAATGGAGCTTTATTAAAGTATGCTCCGGTCTTGAAACCTTCTTTAGTCGCCGCATTTTTTCGTTGAATTCTCAGGCATTACCCTTATCGGGCTACACACGTATCGTGGCCAATTGTAACGTTGCGGGATGGGTAGTCTGTCTTCTGTCCACTGCGACATGACACTCCTCTTCGTTTCCGTTTTTCTTTTGCTGTTTCCGAAAACCAATGGTTTCRTTTGCAGCTGCATTCCCACAGTTCCCTTATACTGAGTTGCGGATGGGTGCTCTCAGAAATCAGGAKWATGCAAAGCAAGCARAAAATCGTTCGACTATCTGTTGTGATTGCTGCTTTTYGACGTCGAACCTTCCTTGTGTTTGTTGACGTGCGTTTTTTGCTTCGCAGAAGCGATTRCATATCTTGGCYGAAGCAAAATAGTGGKCTGAGTAAATGTTARGATCTCGSAACGTACGCTCGTCTAAAASACTGGAGACGTGTKTTCCGTCTATCACAWTTTGATCGATCTGRTTAATGGCTTTTCAATCCGGAGAAAGCCAGATAGTTTATGAATTTTCCTAYGCTGAAATCTAGTACTAAAAATAATCAAATAACATTAAATTATATGCCTTTTATTTCTCCTTAAAAACATCCTTTATAATGCTGTCTCAATTTATTTATACGTATATATTTATGTCTCTATTTTTCATGAATAGTCTGTATAAAAGCACCACGCCAGCAGACTTATTCAAACACATCGAAAACAATTGGCCCACCGCGACWCCTATAGATTTGTATCAGTTCTTTTACGATTGGACCGAACAGGTTGGATATCCAGTACTCTTCGTAAACGCCAGCGTGGAAGGTGTTGTTACGCTGACGCAGGAACGTTTCCTGTATGACTCCGGTGATGGTAGTAACAAGTCACTCACCTATGTCATACCAATTAGCTATGCCACAGAGCATGAACGAGATTTCAGCAATTATAATTTTCCACGTTTTTATTTCTGGAAAGTCGATAACATGACAATTAGCTTTGACAAGCCCGTCAAATGGATCATCTTCAATCTATTTCAAACCAACTACTACCGCGTCTTCTACGATAGAACTACTTTGCTTAATATTAAAGCTGCGCTAATGGAGCCGCACCACAGCGAAATACCAGCCGCAAATCGCGCGCAGCTAATCGATGACTTATTCAATTTTGCACGCGTCTCCATKGTGGACTAYGAGACGGTATTTCAGTTTTTAGAGTACTTAGCGAATGAAAYAGACTACTTGCCCTGGCATGCAACRTTYACGAATTTACCGCGTGTGACACAACGTTTAACGCGGCAGCAACAAAAGGATTTTGCCGAATTTCTAAATRTCACCATGGTTAAGGTCTACACCCATCTGGGCTTTACACTGACTAATCTCACCATCCTCGATACATACAATCGAAATGAGGTCATTAGCTGGGCATGTAAATATCATTTATTCGATTGTGATAAGCGAGCTCAGCTACTATTTGATAAGTTCAAGAAGTCTGGCACAAAACCGGCTCCAGATTTCCGCGAAACATTCTATTGCAGTGCGACGAGAGAAGGAACATTTGCCTACTATCAAACGTTAAAAAACAGGTTCGACGATGAAAAACTGGTTAGTGAGAAGAAGAAGATAATACGYGCCATGGGCTGCACGGGACACTTGTATGAATATCATTTTGACAAAATTATCAGTGGCCTTATACCCAAGGAATACGCTATGGATGCAATTACGTCGATGTATACACAGAATCCGGACAACGTGCGATCTATATTCATTATGCTCACTAACTCCATCGAGAAGTTAGCGGAAATGTAAATTTCTTTTATAACAATTTAAACAAAAGTTCAGCACTAGGTTTAATAATTTATTTTCTTTATATTGTAGTTTGGGCGGCTATTCGAATGCGGCCAATTTGATCAGTGACATTGCAAATTACCTAACCACACACGAGCAGAAGAAATTATTGGAAGATTTTGTGAAGACAAATGGCACACTTTTTGAGAGCTCCGTACCGAAACTACACCATGCTATCTACGTTGTGGATACTAACTTAAAGTGGGCGGAAAAGCGTTTACCGAGACTTATCAAATATTTGAAGAAATCGAATGCTGCGTCTATAAGCAGCTTAACTGCTTTTTCGCTTATATTCATAAGTTTTAGCCAAGAAATTTGTTGTTAATTATTTTGCTATTAATTAGTTTTTTACGTCGCTTTTATGTTTATTTGTCGACGTCAACATTATATTTCTATAATTTTCTTAAGTCTTGAGCTTTTTAACATTCTATTATATTAAACAGTTTACAGCTTCGATTTCATAAAGATGACGTTTTGGGTATAATTAGAACTGAACTGAACTGAATATTACTCAAATATATTTTATGATTTAATTTATTTTTTATTATTTCGTTCCTTTCTTCTGAAGCCAGMATTTGTTGATAACATGARTTTTTAAGTGGCATGAAGTTTAGTTATTTGAAAGACATATTTTTCTAAAAATAAGGTAGTCAAAAAAATATTTTCGTATTTCTAATCACACTTCAAATTATTWTTTTATATTTGTAATGAAATATACCAATTTGTTCGACCACTTTTTACCATTTTTCCGCTAAAGATATATCCATCAGTGTAAAYATTTTCTGGTTTCTCTGCAAAAAACTGCGACAAGTAATTTTCACAGGCTTCTCTTGAAGCCAACATTACTCCATTAAGAGAGTTCTGTATTAACCGAAACAAATGGTAGTTCGATGATGCAATTCCAGGCCTTTATGCATCAAATGCATATGCATCAAAACTTCCCAGCCAAGCTCTCCCAGTTTTTGCCGAGGCATCAAAGATGTGTGTGGTCTAGCTTTGTCCTGATGGAAGACGAAGCCCTTTATTAGTTGTTGATATGTGAATCAATCGTTCAGCCAGGCTGGAGCAGCTCATAGTGGATGATTCTTTTCCAATAACACCAAACACTCAGCATAACCTTTCGAGGCGTCAATCCTGGTTTTGCGACCATTTGTTGAGCTTCACCACGCCACGCCATAGGACCATAATCTTTTTCGCATATTGTTACACATTCAGCCACTACAGCTACCACAGCTACTACAGCCACTATATCCCCAGCAACAACAATCAACCCGATATTTCAGAACTGATACATACGCACGAACATACAGCTAAACATAATTTCACAACGAACTGATAAACAAATGTAATTGGACACTCAGACAATAACATACGATCAGCCACTAAAGCGATAGCACATTTGTATACATACTTAAATACTTACGCGATAGAATTTGAGACTCTTTGAAAATTGACCCTTTCTAACTTCAAAGAAATCCGAACCAAAATTAATTGGACACTTCTTAAAAGTCAAATTACAAATATTTCATTTGATGCTCACCGACGATCAGCTTATCAGCTAAGTATAAAAGACAAGACGTGACAATAAATCAGTTCAGTCAGTTCAGTTCAACTCTACTATTTAATTGTGCAGCAGTAAATCCATTTCCCGAGGATTGAAATCTAGCGTGAACCAAAACAGGAAGTGAAAACGACAACAGGAGCCAGGACCCCAGAAATTTAGTAACCTTCATAAAATGCTTATTCATTTTCCTTTTGCAGCTCTTAATAAAAAAACACGATTGTAATATTAGAAAAGAGAAAGATCTGATATTTTATTCAAACAACAAATAAATAATAAAAAAAAAAAACAGGTTATTGCAACGCAAAACCTATTATTATATTATTGTCGTATTTGATCCACTTTTCGTTTCCTGTTGCCATTCGCTTCAGAATCGGGTTTGATTTCATTTCGTTTCAGCAAAGAATCGCTGATGTTTATTCGGTCCATTAAATTTTTCACAGACAATTCACGTGGTACCCAAACATCGAGCTTCCTTTTGTAGCCAGCTTTTTTAAATGGTTCAAAACCATTTGATGATGAATGTTAACTTCCTTATCGATGTCATGGCTGCTTTTGTGACGGTCTGGTCAGTCTTTTCCATAATTTTATCGACTTTTTCAACGAAAAGAACGGAAGCGAGCCAACAGTGTTGTGCTATACGAACTGCTACAGCATCGCCTCCGTAAACTTCACAAAATTCATTGGTGACTTGCGTGGCATTCTTTTTTTTTTATACAAAAATTTTAAAATAAAGCGAGTTTTTTTTATTAATTTCACTAATTCTTCAAAAGTTGTAACTTTTTTTCCAACTTCCCCGAATTTAATTTTGGTTAAAAAAAAGGCTTAAAATCTCACCTTTCCAGCACTGGAAATATACGACTGCATCGACGAAAAGTATGAAAAGACTGCCTTCAACTACCCAATGTGAAGACAAAAGTGATGTGAAGATCATGTAGGCTAAGAACTAAGGCTGAAAAAGGAAAGAAATATTTTTGAAAAATGAAGCTTCTGATCACTGTGAACTGTCAATACAATTACCCCAGCGATATTCCGACTTGTTCAATCAGTCTTAAAAATAGTGGAAGTCAGAAAAGTAAGCCACTCATTTCATTCCGCTGAGTACTGCGGCAACATTTTGTAGCCTAATTGTCCAAACATATAGTTGAAATATGCGCAGATGTGTCGTTATTTCGGAAGAGTACTTTTCTCTTCGAAGGATAGGTCCGTTTTTTTGAAAACCAGCAATTTTGCGTAGTCCAATTCTGTGCTCAATTTCACCTTCTCCAACTAGTCGTCGAAAATAATGTCTTGCGAATTTTCATGTATCCATCGTCTCTGGTATGTACCAGTGAATCCATGTTCCGTCAACSGTCACAAAACGCTGCTGAAACTCATTTGGATTGCGCTTCAATAGCGCCAGCACTACGGAAATGTACACTTCTGGCTATACTTGTTGTCCGAAGCGAAACGTGCCATATACCCATCGACATAGCTTTATCATACCCAATATTTCTCATAGGATATGACACACATAATATTTTGAGCTCAAAACCGAGCCAAGCTCAGCTATCTGACRTCCCTTTGAAATAAAATTACAAATATGTATGTTAGGTTAGGTTTGTTTGATAACCTAATCAGCTACGCAAAGGATAGTTGAGGCCTTTAGCGACACCAGATAGCGTGACGCCACGTAGTGAATAAGRAGTTGTCATTCTTAAGGATGGCTGTACCTGATGCAAATTTCAATGGACTCTGTGGCCTCACTAATGATAATTCTTCCAGTGTCTCAGGTTCCTTGCTCTTGACATTTCTTGCAGTCTCCTCGATCTATCAGTCTCACGCTGCAGTCATGTGCCGACGCTAAATTCTAACTGGTGAGAATTTCAATCATATTTCTACAGTTTCTTCTATCGAATGTTCTTTGGCGTTTTAATATCCCTTGACATTCCCTTGGCCAAATCGTCGAGTAGATTGTTGACTAATGTCGATCACGTTTTGGGGTGACAGCCGAACACCCTTAACAATCTCATTCCTCATTGCCCTCATTGTCTTTGTGAGCTAGTACCCAGTAGAAGTGAAGTCGAGACACTCTCAACTTCTGATTGATATATTATATAAAGGGATATTATAGCGTTGATTGATTAGATAAGACTTCTGCTTGAAACATATTTCAGTCGGCGCTGTTAATGGAATTTTTCATTGTGAAGATAGTCGAAGAATTGGCGCTCATCAGCATGTGTGGCGCACTAAGGTCTACTCCACCTATGACACTTAACGCTATCGTGCACATAGTGCCTGTAGACGTCTATCAGAATCAGGATTCCTAAAAAACACTAGACTTCATACCGGATCACTTGGAACATGGAATCGCCAAAACGAACTCTGGCGGCTCTTTCTCTGCCCACATAGCGGCGAGGGAATTGTCGGTAGAAAGAAGCCGTTTGAGGTGAAGCGCAGTGAGCTTCTTTACGGATGGATCAAAGCTGGAAAAAAGGTTTGTGGAGGGGTTTATTGTTTGTTATAATATTTTTTCAAGCAAATGTTGTAGTCATTAAGGTAGATCTATTGATCTCTTTGCCCTCATTAAGGCCAGCATCTCACTAGTTGATTAACCGCTCGACTGACCGCTCGGCTAATTGTCGATTGAACTCTGGTATGAAATGCCATGTTTGATCCATTGTCACATATCGAAGCTAAAATTCAGTTTTATTACGACAGAACAGCTTCGAACACTTATAAGAATCAACAAATCGTTTTTGTTTTTGATGGATTGTGAGCTCGCGTCGGTAATTTTCTCTTTAGAGCGTCACATTATTCAAAACGCTATACCTCACGGAATAATAGTCTGATAGCTTTCAAATTTGTGCTTGTATCTTTTAAATGTAGTGGCTAACTAAATACAATATAATATAGTTTCAATATTAATAATTTCATCTATATATCAGCATACAAACTTTTCAGCACAATTCACAATTTCAAAGGACGACTACCCATTCTCTCTTGTGCTCTTTGTTATTTATAAAATGGTCAATAACAAAACCTGSTTACTAGATCCTCCCACAGACATTGAAAATATTTGCTTCAATTAAGTATTTTTAAAATAAATTTATTTTATTGCGAACAAAATTTATGTGAATAAAAAAAATAAAAATACTACATTAAAAATTCAATTATATTATATTAAGTTAGTTTTTAGTGGTGGTTGTCTTYGAGTGCACAACGCCCTTCTCGTCAATGTAACCGGTAGTGGATACTTTTTTGCTGACCGTTTGAGGTGTGTCATCACCACCGAAACGATTCTGAACACTTTTGGAAAGAAAKAAAATTGATAATTTTTATTAACTCAACTCAAGCATTTAAGAAACGAGGTAACACATACTTAGCGTTTGCCTTATTCGATGTCACTGACTGTTCGGTTTTGAAGACGACCGGACCGCCGTTGGATTGCAAAGATGAAGAAGCAGAGACCGATGAATAATGTGGTACCTTGTTGTAATTACCAGTGTTTGTATCATCATAGTTACCATACTGGTTGCTATTAGCATCATATTGACCATTGTTATAGCTGTTAATACTATCATATTGACCATTGTTATAGTCGTCGCTATAACCACCGCTATTTCCCGTGGGATAGTAAACACCCGAATTGGGTGTATTTTGTGAATACGATGAAGTGCCATCGTCGCCAAAGCGCTGAGTTATGCTGAAAGGTATAAAAAGTAAAATATAAATTCAAATCGGATGGAAATAATTTCTTCCAATAAACTTTATATTTACGGTAGACATAATTTTTGATTCAAAAACTCTCAAATTGTCTCAACTACAGCAGCTCTTCTCCAAATATAAATCAAGTTCCTTACATCTACATAAAATGTCTACAGTTCTATAATATTTTTAGAAAAATAGAATTTTCTAGAGAGCAAAATGAAAACTAGTTTTTCAGATTTATAACTAAGACTTTGATAAGTGAAATTTAAACTGAAGCAGCCA